AATCAAGTGCGAGGAATGTGCTGGGGCATTGTCATGATGGAGGTGCCAATTTCCTGTTGATCACAACTCCGGTCTTTTGCGCCGCACAGCATTATGTAGGCGACAGAGGACATCCCTGTAGTACTCTTTGGTGATTGTTTGACCCTGTGGTGCGTACTCGTGGTGTACCACACCGCGGGAGTCAAAGAAAACAGTCAGCATCGCTTTGACGTTGCTGCGCACTTGGCGGGCCTTCTTTGGTCTTGGTGACATGGAATGCTTCCACTGTGACGACTGGGATTTGGTTTCTGGGGTGTACCCGTACACCCAAGACTCGTCACCAGTGATTATGGTGTTCATGAAGTCGGGGTCACTGTTTGTGGAGTCCAGCATGTCCTGTGAGACTTCAGCATGAAGTTCCTTTTGCTCCGCCGTAATCAGCTTCGGCACGAAGTTCGCCGCCACTCTCTTCATAGCCAAATCTTCAGTCATAATGGAATGTGCCGAAAAAGTGCTGATGCCCACCTCTTCCGCAATTTCTCGGATAGTCACACGACGGTCCCGCATCACCATAGTGTTCACTTTGGCAATGACCTGGCCATTTCGGCATGTTGATGGCCGACCGGAGCGTGGCTCGCTCTCCACTGTTGTGCGGCCATCTTTAAACCGGTTGTACCACTCCTTAATCTGTGTGATGCCCATAGCATCGTCACCGAAAGCCGTCTGAATCTTCCGAATGGTTTCCACCTGGCTGTCGCCCAGTTTCTGGCAAAATTTGATGCAGTAGCGCTGCTCCAGTCGTTCAGTCATTTTACTTGCAATGAAAAACCGACGAGAGCACTACACACTACCTCACTCAATGGCTGCTTGCCAACAACTGACGCAATCAACAAGCGGGAAAAAATTTATGCATGCGCACGAAGGTTCAAGGTCGGCTCATGCAAGCTCGCTTGATTCAAATCCATCAGGTTATCGACAAAAAAAAAAAAGGTCGGATACTTTTCTCGCAGGCCTCGTATTGTGTGGGGAAAAAAAAAATTGGGTAGGTGTTAAGTAGCTGTGATCCTAAATAACTGAACCAGTACAAATTAATTTAAATTTTTAATCAAATAGTTCTGTTTAATAGTGTCCTTCAATTGCCTCGTGGATTGACAGAACTATCTGATCTTGTGGTATAGCTGTACATTCTTATCTCGGTGCTCCTCTTAAGTTGCTTTTGCATTTCTGGAGAATGTGTATGCTGACATAAATGCCTGCTCAGTAAATCTCAGATCTTCCATGGGGCTCAAATCTGAGCTCGTTGCTGGTCAGGAAAGGACATTAACTTCAACATTCTCCAGAAACTCTGTAGAGGTGTGTACCTTGTATGGTCTGGCATTGTCTTGCTGAAAAATCACATCAGGCCCAACTTGTGGCTGTTGAACTTTGGGGTTTTTGTACTTCAGCTCATCTTTGTTTGTGGTACGTGCTTGTTTAGATGTTTCTTGAACTGTTATGCTGCAGTCTGTTTCTCATTACATTGAATTTGTGAGAATTGGAGCATATGTTACTTTTGTATTGTAGGGGTCTGTAGAAGTGGTTATTTTAGTATTAACCTGTTATTACATTGTATTGCTTTTTTTTTTTCTTCTTAAACTTGTGGGGGTTTTTTAATATTAGAAAGGCATATTTTGATAGCTTTGTATTTTTGGAGGTTGACCATGTAGCTTTTGCCAAAATTGCAGAATTTTGTGTTGCTATGTTCCTTCATGCATTTTGAAATGTAATGATCTCCACTGCATCTTAGTATAACTTGGCATGCTGGTGAGATGTGTCCAGATCATTGGCATTAGTAATAATCTAGTAATCACAATTTCAGGTCTGCACGTTCTACTGCCACAGTATTTAACTATGTACTGGACCTTTTGGAAATATATAAAACAATAACTATGGACTATTTGTCTGGTTGTTTGTACAACCAACTGTCATTTCAAATACTAGATCCCTAATTCAAATACCAGCAATTAAAAACATTGACAAGGCTTGGAAACCGTTGTACCATAGACTATGCAGTTCCCATTTTATATCTGGCTAGTACTGCTTGTACATACAATGTACCTTATCACAATTATATTCCATAATCTTGATAGTCTGTAGCTTGTAAATACTTCATGTTTCCTGTAATCTAAATAATGATAATACAGGCCCATACAAGCAGTGCTAGGTGGAAGAGCCCAATGAGAGATAATAGTCTTATCAAAAATGTGGCTTGTCAAGATGAGTGTCTTAAAATCTAGGCCTTCTTTGTGTAAAATAGTAATGTGTACAGAAGGAAGTTAGTAAAATGAATTAGTCCTGAAAATGACTTTACGGATCTGTGTATGCCTAATTACATAGAATGATAGGCAAGTTCAACTGTTAAACCTTAGGTGTCGTAAAGCTAGAGAACCTTTCCTCTTTAACGAAGTCTTGTCCTTTTTTGTTGTAGGTAAACTTGTTTCAGATCTATTGATACTCGAATCTTAACTTAATATCTTTTACCTTTGCTGTCGTGACTTGTGACTGAAAGTGTTTTTATCATGTCAACAATCTTTTAAACCACATAAACAAATGACATCTCGATTGTGTCATGTGGTGAATGCATATTATCACAGTGAATTAGAAATTTCACTAATCTTCAAAACCTTTGTAAGGAAACAAGCTCAATTTGCCTTTTCATCTCTTGCTTGATTTTTAACTTTGACCACAACCTCTGTTTTTATTGTTGGTTCTTTACAAGTTGAGTCTGATTACCTTGGTGAATATAACGTCCTTATTTGGACCATTCAATTGTTTGCCTCT